ACACCTGCTGGATCTGGATGTTAGAAAGGCGGTTGGTCCAGATGGGATCTCACCATGGGTACTGAAAGAGTGTGCAGAGGCACTTTGCTTGCCACTCTCCATAGTGTATAGTAAATCACTAGAGACGGGAGACCTACCAGAAATATGGAAGACGGCGAATGTGGTCCCAATATACAAAAAGGGCGACAGACAAGAGGCACTGAACTACAGGCCAGTGTCCTTGACTTGTATACCATGCAAGGTGATGGAGAAGATCGTGAGAAAAAACCTGGTAACACATCTGGAGAGAAGGGACTTCGTGACAAATCGCCAACATGGATTCAGGGAGGGTAAATCTTGCCTTACAGGCTTGATAGAATTCTACGATCAGGTGACACAGATTAAGCAAGAAAGAGAGGGCTGGGCGGACTGCATTTTCTTGGATTGTCGGAAAGCCTTTGACACAGTACCGCATAAGAGGCTGGTACATAAGCTGGAGAGACAGGCAGGTGTAGCTGGTAAGGTGCTCCAGTGGATAAGGGAGTATCTAAGCAATAGGAAGCAGAGAGTTACGGTGAGGGGTGAGACCTCCGATTGGCGTGAAGTCACCAGTGGAGTCCCACAGGGCTCTGTACTCGGTCCTATCTTGTTTCTGATATATGTAAATGATCTCCCAGAGGGTATCGATTCATTTCTCTCAATGTTTGCGGACGATGCTAAAATTATGAGAAGGATTAAAACAGAAGAGGGCTGTTTGAGGCTTCAAGAAGACCTAGACAAGCTGAAGGAATGGTCGAACAAATGGTTGTTAGAGTTTAACCCAACCAAATGTAATGTAATGAAGATAGGTGTAGGGAGCAGGAGGCCAGATACAAGGTATCATCTGGGAGAGGAAATTCTTCAGGAGTCAGAGAAGGAAAAAGACTTGGGGGTTGATATCACGCCAGACCTGTCTCCTGCAGCACATATCAAGCGGATAACATCAGCGGCATATGCCAGGCTGGCCAACATACGAACGGCATTCAGAAACTTGTGTAAAGAATCATTCAGAACTTTGTATACCACATATGTCAGGCCAATCCTGGAGTATGCAGCCCCAGCATGGAGTCCATATCTAGTCAAGGATAAGACTAAACTGGAAAAGGTTCAAAGGTTTGCCACCAGACTAGTACCCGAGCTGAGAGGTATGAGCTACGAGGAGAGACTACGGGAATTAAACCTCACTTCGCTGGAAGACAGAAGAGTTAGGGGGGACATGATCACCACATTCAAGATTCTGAAGGGGATTGATAGGGTAGATAAAGACAGTCTATTTACCACAAGGGGAACACGCACAAGGGGACACAGGTGGAAACTGAGTGCCCAAATGAGCCACAGAGATATTAGAAAGAACTTTTTTAGTGTCAGAGTGGTTGACAAATGGAATGCATTAGGGGGTGATGTGGTGGAGGCTGACTCCATACACAGTTTCAAATGTAGATATGATAGAGCCCAATAGGCTCAGGAACCTGTACACCAGTTGATTGATAGTTGAGAGGCGGGACCAAAGAGCCAGAGCTCAACCCCCGCAAGCACAACTAGGTGAGTACAACTAGGTGAGTACACACACACACACACACACACACACACACACACACACACACACACACACACACACACACACACACACACACACGCGACAGTGTTGTACTAAACAATACGTTGTTTGGTGTATACAAAACACCTTGACAAAAGCACACACACTTGTGAAGACAATAACTTGCAGAGTTGTCCATGACGGTGTGGGTCATGTGTCGTAGGGTGTAGGCCATGTGTCGTAGGGCGTAGGTCATGTGTCGTAGGGTGTAGGTCATGTGTCGTAGGGCGTAGGTCATGTGTCGTAGGGCGTAGGTTATGTGTCGTAGGGTGTAGGTCATGTGTCGTTGGGTGTAGGTCATGTGTCGTAGGGTGTGGGTCATGTGTCGTAGGGTGTAGGTCATGTGTCGTAGGGTGTGGGTCAAGTGTCGTAGGGTGTGGGTCAAGTGTCGTAGGGTGTAGGTTATGTGTCGTAGGGTGTAGGTCATGTGTCGTAGGGTGTAGGTCATGTGTCGTAGGGTGTGGGTCAAGTGTCGTAGGGTGTGGGTCAAGTGTCGTAGGGTGTAGGTTATGTGTCGTAGGGTGTAGGTCATGTGTCGTAGGGTGTAGGTCATGTGTCGTAGGGTGTAGGTCAAGTGTCGTAGGGTGTGGGTCAAGTGTCGTAGGGTGTGGGTCAAGTGTCGTAGGGTGTAGGTTATGTGTCGTAGGGTGTAGGTCATGTGTCGTAGGGTGTAGGTCATGTGTCGTAGGGTGTAGGTCAAGTGTCGTAGGGTGTGGGTCAAGTGTCGTAGGGTGTAGGTCAAGTGTCGTAGGGTGTAGGTTATCTCCTGACCTTCCTCACCAAGCTGCCCATGTTGATGTCTATCATATAATTATCCTCAAGGTTGCATAACACTGCCATTGTTACGTGCAAGCAAAGTGCATTGTTTTGTCTATTGAATATCTCTGTTTTAAGTAGAGGTTTTCGTTGAAGAAATACCTTATCTAACTCAGTGACGTCTGTGTCTTCTGTTAGACTACTGTGCTCTCTATAAGAAAAGTTAGCAGTGTTATCAAGCTGACAATTTTGTGTATATACATGTTGACCAGACCACACACTAGAAGGTGAAGGGACGACGACGTTTCGGTCCGTCCTGGACCATTCTCAAGTCGATAGTGAATGTGTTCTTGGGTCTCCCAATCGACTTGAGAATGGTCCAGGACGGGCCGAAACGTCGTCGTCCCTTCACCTTCTAGTGTGTGGTCTGGTCAACATACTTCAGCCACGTTATTGTGACTCATCGCCTCCATGTGTATATATATACATATTGTGTTGATTATTTTGTTGTTTAGGGCAGCTATCCCCGTGCCAAGTGCTGTTGCACAGGAGTGAATGGCCTCAAGGATACGAAGGCATTGTTCTCAGCGCTTATACCCGTCGAGCCTTACCACAGCCATGAATGGAGCAAGCGGCGGGTAGAGCACTGGTGAACAATGACCACAGTTACCACAAGATCAACACCACTATAACACCACACTTGGACCGCTGTAACACTTGGACTGCTGTAACACTTGCACCGCTGTAACACTTGCACCGCTGTAACACTTGGACCGCTGTAACACTTGGACCGCTGTAACACTTGGACCGCTGTAACACTTGCACCGCTGTAACACTTGCACCGCTGTAACACTTGCACCGCTGTAACACTTGCACCGCTGTAACACTTGCACCGCTGTAACACTTGCACCGCTGTAACACTTGGACCGCTGTAACACTTGGACCGCTGTAACACTTGCACCGCTGTAACACTTGGACCGCTGTAACACTTGCACCGCTGTAACACTTGCACCGCTGTAACACTTGCACCGCTGTAACACTTGCACCGCTGTAACACTTGCACCGCTGCTACCATCTTGACACAAGAACACAAACCACAACATCGCCACTACAACTATAGAACACATCCAACCATGTACAGGGAATACAAGAAAGAGGAAAGAGTAATGAAGGAAATGATCCATAAAGGAGGACAAAGCTCAACCCTTAACCAAAACACAGACTCCATCTTATACTATAACACAAAGATGACCACCGACCTTACCTAACCTTCTTAGTATGTTAAGATAAGCATGTTATTGCTTCTTATTTACAATTATTACTTAACCTATCAACGGTATAGGTTAAGTAATAATTGTAATTAAGAAGCAATAAGATGCTTATCTTAACATACTAAGAAGGTTAGGTTAGGTCGGTGTTTTCTATGAAGCTTTTCAAGGTAAACTACAATATTTATAATCAATTAGTATGTCACATATGCACTTATTAAATAAGCCAATATTGACTGTAAGCAAGTGCGAGAACGGGTTGTATATATGTACACCTGCCCCCAACGAAGGATGTAACCTTTAATCTATGTACATAGGTATGACGTCGACCAAGCTAACGAGGCATTTAACCTGTCATCTTCTATCAGGTGCCCCCCCCCCCCCCCTACAAATCACATGATACAAGCCCATGACTTTCTCTTAACAAGAGAAATGCTGAATTAAAACACTTGCATATTAGACAAAACCCAAGATGTAAGAAGATTATAAATTCTTGAAGGTCTATGCATAAAAGTAGAACAACCCACCATAAACATGCACATTAAAGAATTATTCACTCTTCCCACACCATGAGAGTGAGAACAACACCAGAATGTAAACATGCCAGTGACGACGTTACTGACCAAAACACAATTCCCACTACAGTTACCCGAGCTACAATTATCCTATCACCTCACTTTTCCTTGTGTGTTCACTTTACCTCTATTCTTTTTCTTAGTCTTTTCTCCTGAGATAGTTATGTCAGGAGAGGTCAGTTACCTGACCTCTCAGTGTTATATATCATGTGATCCCTCATGGCTCCTCACTTGAGAATGAACCATGTAGGTTCCAAGCATGTCCAATTATAAAGGTACAATACATTAGTGATCTTACTCAAATCGTTTTTAATTGATGAATTAAAAATGTATCCAAATTGTACAAATTATTATTAATGTTAATATTGTATGGATTTGTAATTTGTATTAAAGCAGAGTCAATAATGTTTCTGTTGAAGATGATTTTTCAGGTAGTTATTGAAGAAGATCTCTCCCTATTAATTTGGTGAGAATTTTCAGACAACTGAATGAATAGAGCATTAGATAACTGAACATATTTTACAGATTTTTTTTATGCTGCGAAATTCGAGATTTCAAAACTTTTTTGATGTTTGACCTATATAGAATTTATTACAATCTTTACAAGGTATTTTGTAAATGACAGAGTTATCTCTATGATGGGTGTTTCTAACTAAACAGCCATCGTAGTTAAAACATTTTCATTCACAGATCAAGTTTGTGGTTAGTATCAGATGTATACCAAGTTATTTGTTTACCAAAAACTCCGTCTTTGTTCCATATAATAATGTTTTCTCGTTCCGGTAGAGTGAGGAGGACCTTGAGAGCGGTGGCGCAGATGCCAGCACTGGTGAGGCTGATTCTCCGCCCAAGTACGACTCAGTAATGGCCAAACCTCCTCCCTACGACCAACTCTACACTGGAGACCAGACCGGGAACGACTCCACACATGACATCCTTCTGGATCACGACCTAGGCGCCAGTCTAACGACAGGAGGAGAGAAGCCAGACGCCAGTCCTCCGTCATACTCTGAGGTCACCAAGACTGGTGCTTCCCAGTCACTTGACCAGTCAGCGCACCAGTGAGCCTGGCCTCTCATCGCGTCAATCAGCGAGCCAATGACAATGCCAGCATTGGCACTGGAAGGCTGTGTCGTCAGCGACTGACACTGAGGATGTCGTTAGTGGTTGGCACTGAGGCCGTGTCATCAGCGACTGACACCGAGCGCCTGCGTCGTCAGCGACTGACACTGCTGCTGAAGGTGATTGCTGTCAGGACAATTTTGCTCAGGAATGCTTTGAAAGCGGAAGAAGCTGTATTAACTCTGCACAGTAGGAAAACAGGAACCTACGTGTATGACCAAGCAGCCTATTGTTGTCATACAACAGCCACTTTGTATCATTAGGACGGCACTTTTGTATGATTATTGTCATCAGGACACGTGACATATTATACAAATAAGTCATACATTTTGTGCTGTGTGACACATAATATATCACAACAGTCATGAATCATTGCTTGTATGATACACAGAATACACACAAGTCATGTATAATAAGCAGAATATTATACAAAAGTTATGTATTATGCCATATATATAATAGGCAGAATATTACACAATAGCCATATATTATGGCATGTATAATAGGCAAGATATTCCCCACAAGTCATGTATTATGACATGTATAATAGGCAGAATATTACACAAAAAGCCATACATAATAGGCAGAATATTACACAAAATCCATGTATTATGCCTCATATAATACACAACATATGAAAATGCTTTAATAAAGCTGAAATTCTCACAAGGAGGTGACCGAAATAATATGGTAATGGTACTTGTATTTATATGACCCAATACGAACCATTCTGACACGAGGATGGTTGTCCACTGAACCAAAGATTAATATGTTTGCTATAATTTATTTTTCTGAGTATAATTGAAAGGTATTTTAACGTTTAGTTATACTTCATTATACAAGAGAGTGATTAGGGGTTGTATATATAATGAGGGAACAATGACACACACACACACACACACACACACACACACACACACACACACACACACACACACACACACACACACAAGGTCGTCGGGAGTCATTGTATTCTGTTTCTTACAATTGTAAAAACTTAGTCATTGTATTCTGTTTCTTACAATTGTAAAAACTTAGTCATTGTATTCTGTTTCTTACAATTGTAAAAACTTAGTCATTGTATTCTGTTTCTTACAACTGTAAAAACTTACAATTAGAAATACAGGGCCCACGAGATGATTCATTCCTACATGTTTTGTACCATAGGAAGACATGTTCCATAGAAGAATATGGGTATACAGTCAATAGGAACAGACATACTCTCTATTCAAGCATATGATATACTGTCAAAAGCTGTCAAGTTGCAGATAATTGCAAGACGTAAAGTAAGTGTATGTTTGTTAATCCTGCATAACTTGGGAGTGTTGTAATAAATAACTTAATTCAGACTTGTTGTTTTAGTTGGAAGGTCGTTGAGCCACACCAAGCTTCCTGTGATATGTGTGAAAGATGTTGAGGTGAATGTAACCTAACGTCAAGTCCTGTTACATGTGCTCCAGTTGCTTCTAACTCACTGGACTTGTTTGATCCAGATCTTGAGCTAACATTACTAGGCACAGCGAGTTTGATGAAGTATTCTGAAAGGCATCTGGGGTATAGTTCATCCTCAATGGGCCCGCCTGTCACTGTTTCTGATGATATCACTCACCTAAAAAGTCAGTAGTGATATCATTATCAGTGAAGGTGGTCATCCTGCCACCTAGTCGAAGGTAAAGTTATTAAGCAATGTGGCAACTTGTATAGATGTGAACTATGGGACCTACCAAAATGCCGATAGTGACAGGATATACAACCCAGCGGGTTTTCTTCCTATTGGGGAGTGTTGTACATGCTGCTATGGCGGTATGTCCACTCACAGGATGAGTGGCGCTGCCCAATACTGTCACTATGGCGGTGTGTCCACTCACAGGATGAGTGGCGCTGCCCAATACTGTCACTATGGCGGTGTGTCCACTCACAAGATGAGTGGCGCTGCCCAATACTGTCACTATGGCGGTGTGTCCACTCACAGGATGAGTGGCGCTGCCCAATACTGTCACTATGGCGGTGTGTCCACTCACAGGATGAGTAGCGCTGCCCAATACTGTCACTATGGCGGTGTGTCCACTCACAAGATGAGTGGCGCTACCCAATAAACTCGCCCCTCAGGGCAAAATTTACAAAATTTAAATTGACAAACTTAATTGTGAGTGGAGGACATGTTCGAGACGTGTGTTGTAGGTGTATCCTCGCACTCACTCCTCCTCCCGCCTGGCCTCATGCCCACACCCACACTTGAACACACAATTCACAAACCAATGACACCCGTTTGTCTGGAGTTAATGACCCGTCCAGCGAACACAATCACTTCTCGTTCAGACACTCGCTTATTAATCCCAGCTCTTGAAATCAAGCCGAGGTCTTGAGTCAGCTTGAGTCAGGACTCAAACTTTTCACACAGTTTCGCGGCCCAAAGAAACAAATCAGTGTGATAAATATATATGTTTTATCTGGATCTTTTGTGGTAGTGAGTATGAGGTGGTTCATAACAGAAGAGTAATGTGACAACAACAATGATATCATGTTGACCTTCCACTCCAAAATGTTATGTAAGACAAAAAAAAGTCAAAATATTTAATTTCGACATGGAAAAAACTCATACTTAATTGCAGATGATAAAAATAGGCTATTAACTTTTTGTTATTAATTATATTTACTGAAATTATAAAACTGTTTACTTGAAAAGAAAATTTGCCCAGTTTTGTGGCATACAAAAATAAAAATAAATACAGTTTGAGAAAGAAATTTAGTAAAACAAATCAAATACATGTAAAGTAACGGGTCTAACAATAATATATTCACTGTACCTTTCTACACAAGTTCACAGTAAACATCAGAGAATTAAAAAAAAAAAATAACCCGTATTAACTTTTCCTGACTATTTTGCATGCAAGAGATCCGGGCACAGAACGACAAGCAGCAGGACATATTTTCAAGAAAAAGTAACTCATACTGTATTACACTCAGAAATCACAATAGCGTGATGCTATCAAATGAACCGAGGGATGCTCTCGGACGTAGGTTCGAACCCTCGTCACGGCCCTTGTGGATTTGTTCATTTAACTCATACTATATATACTCTGTGGGGTGGCAACTGACGCCTTCAGTCGCAACCAAGAAATCGTGAAGATTTGCACAAGAAGATTAATACGAACGTCGGAACTGCTTTTGCAATGTCTATACATTGCTGAACTGCATTTCAAGCTTGAGGAGTCAATTATCAAAATGGACTTCAAATGCTCATGAGATAAATTTGGACTTGACTTACTTCATTCTTGAAAATGTTTGTCCATATATATACGAAAATAAAGGAAAAGATTATCATTAAAATTTTAGCAAATTTTGATATAAATTGTTACAAGGCAAATACAATTATTTCACTGATATTGTATTGTAGTTAATATTGTAGTTAACACGACTATTGAAGGTCAATGTTTTTTCAGTGTTAGGGTGAGTTTGCTAGTAGTCAGCCCTCTATTTGTTTGTTAATGCAGTGTTGACTGAGTGACACACACTAAGGGATTTATTAATTGAGAAAATGAAGGTTTTTACATCGCCAAATTACCAGTGATTATTCCCCAAGTTAGTGGAGAGATGATATAAGGTTTAGTGGTGGTGGTTACTAGCGTGCAGGAGTCTATACAGATGAGGAAGCTAGACACTTGTGGGTTATCAGGCTGCCACAGGTCAGTATTAACATATCTTATAATTAGTTGATGTTTTTAGTGTCTTACTTAATATTAAATTTCTGAGGTTTGAGTTAAAATCAATTATACTGTCGTTGTCTTTAGTCTTCCCTGGTCACGTGACACTCAAGTTTGGAGAACTCTTGGTGTCTTTTACTGTGATGTGTTGCGTTTCTGCCCGAAACGTTGCGCGTACTAGTGGCTTTACAAGAGTGCAACTACTGTACCATGCTATGTATTCTCACAAACCCAATGTACCTTCTTGTATATAAATAAATAAATAAACAAATAAATAAATAAATACTCTTTACTCATGCTGAGTACATCATTAATGAGCGTCTTTACTCATGCCGAGTACATCATTAATGAGCGTCTTTACTGATACTCATTTACTCAAAGGAACTGGTCGGCCGAGCGGACAGTACACTGGACTTGTGATCCTATGGTCACGGGATCGATCCCGGGCGCCAGCGAGAAACGATGGGCAGAGTTTCTTTCACCCTATGCCCCTGTTACCTAGCAGTAAAATAGGTACCTGGGTGTTAGTCAGCTGTCACGGGCTGCTCCCTGGGGGTGGAGGCCTGGTCAAGGACCGGGCCGCCGGGGACAATAAAAACAAAGCCCCGAAATCAACTCAAGATAACCTCAAGATGCTGAGTACATCATTATTGAGCGTCTTTATGTCCTCAGTTTCATACCATTTCCTTGTTTCTTTAGTGACTTAAGGCTCTGAAACAGCGTTAACTTGGTTATTAAGGTCACCAACAAACTAATTGATGTCTTCATGGATTTGGTGTTCAATGAACCAATCACTTATAGTGTTAATAAAGTGAGGCTTCAGGTCACCTCTGAGGAACAGACCCTATTAATCTGTGTTTCTTTAGCTGTTACATGTGTTTCCCTTGCTCATGTTGACGGCGTCAAACAGCGCTCAGTGCACATGTGTGTACCGGTATCCCTGTCCCGGGCGTGTAGAACCAGTGTGGCATCTAATGTTCCGGCTTCTGAGGTGAATTGGTCGTCTGTCACCAAGGACTCACTTGCTCCAACATAGTGACGGTTGGTTAGCGTCACAAGGTATATAGGAGCTTGGTGTTGAGGTCCCCGACCAACAGGGCGGCTTCCTCATTACCAAATTTAGGTAATGTGTCGCGGTCATCCATAATTTGAGTAGGAGTAATGTTACGTAACGTAATGAGACCCTGTTTTCCTGCGTCACCAGGAAGGGCAAGCCTCTGATAACCTCTCAACCTGTGATAACCTCTCACCCTGTGATAACCTCTCACCCTGTGATAACCTCTCACCCTGTGATAACCTCTCAACCTGTGATAACCTCTCAACCTGTGATAACCTCTCACCCTGTGATAACCTCTCACCCTGTGATAACCTCTCACCCTGTGATAACCTCTCAACCTGTGATAACCTCTCAACCTGTGATAACCTCTCACCCTGTGATAACCTCTCAACCTGTGATAACCTCTCAACCTGTGATAACCTCTCAACCTGTGATAACCTCTCAACCTGTGATAACCTCTCACCCTGTGATAACCTCTCACCCTGTGATAACCTCTCACCCTGTGATAACCTCTCAACCTGTGATAACCTCTCACCCTGTGATAACCTCTCAACCTGTGATAACCTCTCAACCTGTGATAACCTCTCAACCTGTGATAACCTCTCACCCTGTGATAACCTCTCACCCTGTGATAACCTCTCACCCTGTGATAACCTCTCACCCTGTGATAACCTCTCACCCTGTGATAACCTCTCACCCTGTGATAACCTCTCACCCTGTGATAACCTCTCACCCTGTGATAACCTCTCAACCTGTGATAACCTCTCAACCTGTGATAACCTCTCACCCTGTGATAACCTCTCAACCTGTGATAACCTCTCACCCTGTGATAACCTCTCACCCTGTGATAACCTCTCAACCTGTGATAACCTCTCAACCTGTGATAACCTCTCAACCTGTGATAACCTCTCAACCTGTGATAACCTCTCAACCTGTGATAACCTCTCAACCTGTGATAACCTCTCACCCTGTGATAACCTCTCACCCTGTGATAACCTCTCAACCTGTGATAACCTCTCACCCTGTGATAACCTCTCACCCTGTGATAACCTCACCCTGTGATAACCTCTCAACCTGTGATAACCTCTCAACCTGTGATAACCTCTCAACCTGTGATAACCTCTCAACCTGTGATAACCTCTCACCCTGTGATAACCTCTCACCCTGTGATAACCTCTCACCCTGTGATAACCTCTCAACCTGTGATAACCTCTCAACCTGTGATAACCTCTCAACCTGTGATAACCTCTCACCCTGTGATAACCTCTCACCCTGTGATAACCTCTCAACCTGTGATAACCTCTCAACCTGTGATAACCTCTCAACCTGTGATAACCTCTCACCCTGTGATAACCTCTCACCCTGTGATAACCTCTCACCCTGTGATAACCTCTCACCCTGTGATAACCTCACCCTGTGATAACCTCTCAACCTGTGATAACCTCTCACCCTGTGATAACCTGTGATAACCTCTCAACCTGTGATAACCTCTCAACCTGTGATAACCTCTCAACCTGTGATAACCTCTCACCCTGTGATAACCTCTCAACCTGTGATAACCTCTCAACCTGTGATAACCTCTCAACCT